CCTCCCTGCGAAGCTGCAGCCCACCTGCCCTCACAGAGCAGGCAGAGGGACAGCAGCTCTGGGAGCACTGGCTGAGAGCAGCCATCAGGACTCACCCGGCCCGTCGGTGGTGAATACAGGGACCTGTTGATCACAGGCTTCTTGACCTGCTTGGAGACGCTGCCAGCATGGCCAGGCAGGCTGGGGGCAGCTTTGGCAATTGGCCCGTCCGAGGTCTCCTTGGGGCTGGGGATTCTGGTGAAGGCAGAGAAGCGCACGTGTTAACTGCGAGGGTTCGAGCGACTGGAATGCTCTCATCAGAGGTGCGCACAACAAACAGGAGCCAGAAGCTCCAAGGAGGTGAGGTGCTCTTCATCTACAGCAAAACCACGACAAGGGGCTGGACCTCTCCCTGCCACCCCCCTCCGAGCCAGCGCATGCACACGGGCACCGGGGCTACTTGAGCCAAGCTATTTCCCACACGCAGGCACACGCTACCAGACCAAAAGCTGAGAGCAGGGGGCAGAGGGGCCGCTCTCACCTCAGGTAGAACAGCACATAGGCCTGCTGGTTGAGGACCACTTTGATGTTGCTGGAGCGGACCAGGTCATCGTTCATTTGATACCACTGCCCGTTGCTGGCCTGCGGAAGGAGAAGAGAGAATGGAGTCAGGCTGTGTCTGGGGACCCTCCTGGCCTGAAGAGCAGCAGGATCAGAGCCCATCAGCAGAGCTCCTCTCCCCAAAACCCACAGGCGGTCCAGGGCAGGCAAGGGGACTCTGTGAGAGCAGACCTCCACACTTCCTAGGGCAGAACACAGCCCGTACCCCTGATCCAGTGCTCCACACCACGCACATTTGCCGAGCACCCTCCTTTCTGCATGCTCCAGAGACCCACAAGCACCCACCAGCCCCCAGCTGGTGCCAAGAGCACCCCTGGCTCACCTTCACATAGCAGTAGTAGTGCCCTGCATTGCAGCTGTACCCAGAGTGAACCAGCACCCCATAGAGTCCATACATGATGGGCTCCCCTTTGCTCTGAGACATGTAAGGGCGGATGTCCAAGAACTCAGGGTACCCCACGTCCTGCAGAGAGAGGATGTTCTCAGGAGCCTGCACAGCAGACAGCTTTCTTGGTAGAGCAAGAGCAGCGCAGCTGTGCTATGAGTCCCATCTCTTGAGAGAGGGGGACCTGCTCTCCCTAGGCAGCAGTCACGCTGAGGAAGATGCCAGGATGAGCCAAACTCCCACTGCACCGCTGGGGAAGGGCTGCAGGACTGCAGCAGAGCTCACACCGTGCACAGGACCATCTCCCACTCTGCTCTGGGCCTCAGGCCAGGAGACAGCCCTAGCTCCGGATTGCCACGCACTCACCTTTGTGATTTTGCCTCCACCACAGTTGGCAAAGCGCTTCAGCGAGAGCGTGAGAACATTGGAGGCTCGGTGGATGGTGAGGCATTTGCTGGCCGACACTTTCTCCTTGCATCTGCACGGGAAAAGCTCAAGCTGTTCAAGCTATTCCACCACCCAGATGATTGCCAGCCCCACAGAAATGACCCTGTGACACCAGGCACCGCTCCAGGCCACTTGCCCACAGCCATGTCTGCTGGCCCAGGTCCTCCTCACGAGAGGAGGGAGCTGAGGAGCGGCAGGCTTCATCACAGGCTTCCGTGGCCACGTACCTCACGGTTTAGCCGTGGGGCAGGCAAAGAAGCCCTCCTGTATTGTGGCAGGCTTTCCACCCGCTTCCCACCAGCACACCCGCAGGCCCCTTCCCGCCCGCAGCCCCGCACACTCACTTGGCACACTTGTAGGCATTCTCGCCGCCCAGCATGTCTGGCTTCACAAACAGCTCCAGTGCCTCCATTATGTTGGTGGCTTGCTGCAAGGACAGAGCAGAGGTCAGGGCATGAGTGACAGCCCAGCTCCCTGCTGAGATGCTGGCCCGAGAGATGACAGAGCGTGAGCACAGGCCACAGACTACACCAAACTCATGAGCCTGCCACCAGCCAGGCACTGGCCGGCACGCCGCGAGGGACGGTTGCACTGCCCCCCAACACCGCGGAGCCTCAGTGGAGGAGTCGTGGCTCATGCTCAGGACACGGGCGCTGCTCTGCCAGACAAAGAAGGCAGCGCAACAATGGAAGCTGCTTCCCTCCTGTCTGCACCGTGCCTTGATGCTGGCAAGTTACAGAGCCTTGAGACCAGCAATGGTGCGGCTGCAGGGCTCTCCCCATCCCCCCCCTGCCGCAGTACCTCGATCTCCACTGCCAGGTCCAGGTAAGGGTCACAGGTGTCCGAGACATTCTTGCACGCCAAGCACTTCACTGCAAAAGAGGGAGCAATGAGCACACCCTGGCACAACTCCTGCACCCACCACCACCCCAGCACAGCGCAGGCAGCCGCAGTGTTCCTCTCTCCAGCTTTGGGCCCTGGGATGGGGGCACCAGGACTCACAGCCTGGCAAGGAGGAAGGCTGCCCATTCCACTAAGCACTGGGACAGCAAGTGTTATGAGAGAGCTGGCAACACAGGCACCTTTGCTGCTGGCAATGAGCTGGGGACCCACAACCAACAGTTTTTTCCATTGCCACAACAGGGCTGATGACCCATAGGTACCGCAAGACTGACCAACTGCACCTCTGGATACTTTACACACGCTTAGGAATTTTCCTGAAAGATTTTTAGTGGGAAGCAGCAGCCCTGAGAGTCACAGGCCCAGGACCTGGCAGCCAGCACTCACCACGGGACTGCAGGTAACCACCGAAGATCTGGTAAACCAGTGTCGTGGCCTGGGTCTGGCGATCCAACCTAGAGACACAGCAGCACCAGATCTCACACCGCTCCTCCGCACGGCCATCCCCCCAGGCCACCCCCTGCGTCCTCAGGACAGCTCCCCTATGTGCTCTGGCCAGCAGACAGGGCTGCAGAGCTCCGGGGAGCAGAGGGAAGCCGCAGACTCTGCCAGTCTGCTCTCCCAGTGCTGGAGCTCAAGGGGCGGCACCAGGATCCTCTGGAAGGAGCGGAAACCCCTGCCGGAGCTCAGGGCTGGGTACTGCAGGCAGAGGCAAGGCAGGCTTCCCGGGACGGAGGGCCCAGGGGGAAGCTGCTCACCCACAGCCACAGAGCTGGGGCTGAACTAGCAAGCGCGCCTGGATTCCTCAGCAACTGGGACAGGATCCAAGCCCATAGCATCCTCAGGATTTGGGGACAGGACCACAGCTACACTGGGGTGGAGGTGTCAGGAGAAGGCAGACAACAGCCCAGAGCTGTGTCACAGAGGGGCAGAGTTGGGCCATCCACGCAAGGCCCCTGGAGACAGCACCTCCGTCCATGAGCCTGACCGGGGGGACACGTTCATCCCACAGTCCCCTCCCGTGGGCGCAGGGGACAGAGAAAGCAGCAACGGGCCATCAGAGGCCCCACATACTTGGTGCAGCCATTCAGGCAGGCCTTCTGCATGGCGTCGATGGTGTAACGCAGGAACTCATGCGCATCCTCCTGTCTGCCAAAGCGGATGTCCGGAGCAATCTCTGCAGGAGAGGGAGGAATCAGTCCCCACACGTGCTGCAGCAGATGCAGGTCCACCCTCCCTCCCTCGGGGCAGGGACTCCGGGGTTCAAGGCCCCTCAACCCAAACCAGACATCAGACTCATGCCGGACATGGGGAAGCCCCACGCAGCCCATGAAGTCACCAAGCCCCGGCAGGCTCAGTGAGTCATCTCAGAAGAGCTATCTGCCAAGACCTGCCCTGATCTCAGAGGTTCTGCTCCTTCATTAGTCACTGCTCTCCTGCATGGCTACAGAGGGGAGGGGAGGGCAGCCATCCTTACTCTTGAGGTTTTGGATGAAGGACACCGGCTTTATTATGTTGCCGCTGTTGGCAAAAGCCTGGATCACATGGTTCTGCATAACACACATCATGCAAAAGCCTCCTTGGTGACCTGGAGCAGAAGAGGAGAAGACAGGATGTTGGGGACAAACCCAGGAGATGGAGGCAGTATAGGGAATGGCAGATCTCTGGTCCAACACAGCTCAGCCACACTTGTTTTCCCTGCGAGCTCTGTGCTACGGCACAGCCCTGGGGCATCCCGGGGACAGAGGGACCAGCACACGCCACACCAGCTGGTGCAGCCCCAGTCACAGTACCAGCCACTCCAACCCCCCTAGACAAGCCAGCATCCATGTGGATGGCAAACAGCTCACAGGTACGCACTGGAAGAGGCCACAGGACAGTTCTGAGAGGTTGTTCCCACCAGAGCCCCGTGGATGGGGCTGTGAGCCCCACATGCTCCCCTTCATAACAGCTCAGAGTGGTGCCCACCAGACTCCCTTTCAAAGCCACCCACAAACAGCACCTGCTGCCTGTACGCAGCCTTCTGCCCTGCCCTCACACAGTCCCCACAGGCAGGGGCAGTTTGGGACCCCCAGTAAGCCAGCAGACTTATTTCGACCCATTAGTCCTGGCTACGCCCAGGAGAGACAAAGCCTCCCCAGACACAAGGATGCAGAGCTCAGGAACTCTGCTACGGCCAGGAAAAGCGGGCCGTACGCAGGAACGGCCTCTCGATAGAGACACGGGCAGGAGGGAGCACAGAAGGCGCATCCTGACACCTGTGCAACCCTCGCCAGAGCCACGCACAGAGGTGCTGAGCACAGCACTGGGAGCAGGGCAGGCGGGCG